CTAAAAAGGTGCACGGGATAAACGTTTTAAAAACACTATCATTGTTGTGAGGCCCACAATCATCTCAAATGTGGAATCATTTGTTTACACTAATCGCAAGAAGGTTAAAATATGCGCTTGACGACAAAATGGTTTAGAACATCGTTATTTGGCTGTCAACGACTGCAGTCTTCCTGTCTGGTCCTCACAAAGAGCACACACACCACACACACACACACACACACACACACACACACACACACACACACACACACACACACACACACACACACACACACACACACACACACACACACAGCCAGTGGCCTCAGGACTAATTGCTAGATTGGAGCAGATTTTCTAGTTCAGTTCATGGCTGTAATTGTGAGGAGAGCAGGGAGGAATGACAGGGCCTCAAGCTGAGAGGACAAATCACCAGGGGCCACCGATTAGACTGCACTGATGTTCACAACCATCCGTGTGTGCGTGTGAATTGGGGGTGAGGGGTTAAGCCAACCATCTCTCAATCCTAGGTTTCTGTGGCACTGACCCCAAACTGCCACACACACCAGGTTGAACCCAACAGACCCTGCAGTGCGACTGAGGACAATATGAGAAACGACTTGTGTTCAGATAAAACTACACTCTGAGTTTGTATCTCTCCAAATGACAGGTATGAAGAATCCATACATCACGTTTTAATATAAACTCACTTTGTGTGAATTGTCAAAAAGAAACGTATTTACAGAAATGTAGAATAGGGTTTGAACTTGTTTCGTACTTCTTCATTTGAAGTAATTAACATATTTCAAAATGACTGTAGTCTGCAGGCCAGGAGAGGCCAAAATGTGTTGAAATGGTTTAAGCAGATGGGGGAAATCTGAAACTAGGGGCAATGTTTGAAGTCGCTTGCTTAAAATCTCTGCAGTTGCACAGTCTAAAAAGACGCAAGGCACACTGCGGTGTGAAAGCGCCTAATGGGGAATTTGAGTTTGTACTGTAAGCTCCCATCTCATACTCAGCAATGTGTGCTAATGCAATATACACCCGGGCATTTATCGTAAGCACAAAAGCCACAAACTCTGCAGTTGGAACAAACTACAATTTGACATCGTACTGATAAGGTATAAATAGTATGTTAGTATATGTGATTCCTAATATAGCCTGAATATATAAATACTGCTTATTTTAAGCAGGTTTTGTGTGAACTGTACACACTGAAAAAGAAGAGACAAATAAATGTAACTCAAAATATAAATGTAGTTACTAGAATAAGTATGATTACTAAAGGAAAGGAAACTGGAAAATGTAGATAGTGATCACCTGCAAGATAACTGACATGACAAAAACAAGAACTGTGTAATTTATTGTTAAAGAAAACGGCAAAACATTGTGACACTAAAGGATTTTAACTTTATTTGATAAGCCCTTCAACAAAGCACATTAAACAAATGCAACACTGATAAAAAATAAATGCTAATTTTACATGGTGTCAACGACCAACCAACCTGATTGCTGGATCTGATACAAAAAGAGGGACAAGATCCCTATTACACCAGTCCCCTCTGCCTCTATCATCAGACCCAGCAGGACAGAAAGGAGAGACCACAGAAATGGCAACACACAACACCCACCCGAGCATGCACGCACACACAAAAACACAGAAATCTCACTCAATGCACCACAGTTATGTTGCTAGAAGATAATTCTCCATAAAAACTGCATGGAAACTCTTCATGGCCTTTTGGTTGTCCCTCACACTCTCTACATCTGCACCACACCTGGACTCTTGCATCAATAAGAGTGAGAGAGAAAGTGGTGAAGGAGGCGAGATAAGATTGGAGAAAAACAATCTGAAAGACAGACAGCCAATCAAAATATTCTCAGTCTCAGCCACAGAGTCCGTCGATCATTCGGACAATCTGTCTGTCAGCTTACCTTGCAGTGATGTCATGGCTGTCATTATGACAAGGCCCGCGGTCCTGATGTCTGATTGGACGTGAGTGACTGAACCAGCATTACATCCATGGCAGGAAAAGAACACAAAAAAAAATGACTCCACTCCTGAAGCTGGAATATTCAACTCTTTCTGCCCAAATGTAGATCTGTTATACCTCCAGAATATTCGAGTTCTTATAAAGTAACTGACTTGAGATTGCTGTTCCTACAAATACGGCATGTTTATGCAGGACAAATTATATATTTCGGTCTATGTAAACCCTCCTGGCTAGTCTCCCATGTCTTGTATGTCACTTTATCTGCCCTACCTGGCCTTTCCTCCCTCCTCCATGTGACACCTTATCCCTCGTCTTGAAGACACCTAGCATTCCTCTCCCAGTCCCTCACCTTTATCCCACTTTCACCAGGTTCCTATGTCAACCCCACCCTTCCAACTTCACACCTTTTTCCCCCTGGCCTGCCAATCCCTCGTTCCCCCAGCTTCGGAGCTCGTACCCCGGCCTGGGCTCTCCCTGTCCCTGCCTCTCCTCCAGCCTGCCTTCCCCTCTCCTCTGCCTCCCTCAGCCCCAGCCTTCTGCTCAGCGTTCAAGGGGAGAGCCAGCTAGGAATGCTGTGGCTCTAGACGTTTTGTCCAAGCCCTAGGTCTCTTTCACTGAGGCAAGATTAGTTCATACAAAAACTCAACAATACACCACTGAAAGCCATTGTTGATATTCAACATTTTTCACATAGCGGAGCAGAATAGACAATGCGGCAGCCGCGAAAGCCCGAAGCGGACTAGCAGGGTTGATGGCTGATGGTATCTCAGCTGAGCGTGGGCCTTAATCCCTTTTATACACACACGCCACAAGTACACACACTTTCAACAGCCTGGAGACAGCAAAATCAATACCGCTCCCTCTCTCTATGTCTGTGTGTTGATCAGTGGGGGGGTGAGTGTGATATGGAGAAAAAAAGAGAATAGTACTGTTTGTACCTCTGTGTGTGTGTAGGATTGTCTTGGCACGTGTTCTTAGATTTTGGAGTATAACGAATATTTTCAGGTTTTTGTTTTAGCGTTGTTGCAAAAACTTAAAAACAAATAAGATGGAAATTCACCATCTATGAAATGTTAAAAATACATGCAGCAGTCTTCTTTATTGAAAATCAAATCAACTATATTTGAGGTTTGCTGTTAATATAAATGCTGCCGACATACCTTTTATGTCATAATTTCATAATTATCATTATAATCTTAAAAGTTATTAAAGTTGAGAGTTAATGGGTGTCTTTTGTGTTATGTGGTGCAACAGTGATCTTTTGTTGTGTTGAATTTATTTATTTTGAATGTGATCTGCATACATGTGATGATTTATTTCCTAGTCTACAGTGTGCATAAAACAAAGAAAATATTACCAATCTGGACTTTAAAAGCTCTGTAATATGAATGTATATATATTTGAATGTCATCAAAATACCCCAGCTCTTAACTAAATGCAGGGTTAGCCTAAGGTTATTACCAGATTAACCATAAAGCAAATGTTTGGTGCATCATTGCTAACTTCAAAAGTAAAAGTCAGTATTAATGAGCTCTTCCATTATGACTTTTAAGAACACACGGACCCATCGTATATGCACATTTGGCAAACCTAAAAAAAATAATGTATTTACTTTTATTTATTTTTTGAATTCCTGAACTAAATTACTATTTTATTATTTTGCACTTCTTCATTTGGCTGCCAGAGTTAATGTCAAAATCTCACACATTCATATGAAAAAAACTTCCAAAAAAAACAACCTTATCCTGACTGTGCATATCTGGGTCTTTCAGACAGAAATGTACTAATGTAGTAATTTTCTAAAAGTGAGCACTGACTCAGCTTTAGAAATGTTACCTTGACACACTGCATATTGCTGCAGAATGTAAATTGCATTCCTATAAAATAATAGCAAAGGAAGCATGGAAAAATCCGAGGAGAATTGATGTGAGGAAAACAATTTAATTACTAAATAAACTACATCACAAGTTTCAGTGGGGAAAATAGATACGGATTGAGACTTTTGGACCTGGAATCAGTCTGCAGCAGCATTTATGATTACAGCTGGTTAATGTAATGAACGCCCTGTCATGTAAAACTCATAAATCATGTCATGCTGGCGGAAACATTTCATAAAACATGATTAAAAGTGTCGTGTAACATTGGGAGCGACGTCTGAGTGAGACATGTTAATTGTGCACTAATCATATGTAATGAATGTCATCAGCCCCGAGGCTTCGGCTAACGAGCTAAATGAACTGGCACTAATGGGCCTGTTAGCTTATTTTAGCGCTAACATTAGCTAGCGTAATAAAGGGTTTGTCCTCTGCTGTGGCACCGCAAGTTTCCAGAAGTGTCACGTTACAATTACATATTTCTTTTTAGATCCATTTTGACAACAACAACAACACCAACAACAACAACAACAATATAACCAAGACTAGGGGCTATTTGACGCAAAGACAGCTTACTATTAAGACATAAAAACAGATTGAAACAGACATATTTTCATGCATTCACACTTTGCTTTGCCCTCCACCTGGACTCCAGATCCGGATCCAGCTGCCAGGTTTTCCTAGGACCCCGAAGTCCGCAAGGTAGCAGAGGAGAAGAAGAAGAAGAAGAAGAGGACATAGAGGGAGGGAACATGCCTTCTCTCTCTCCCTCTCTCTTTTTCTTTTCAATTGACCAATTGACAGCTGATTGATGGCTATCTCCTCAGCCCTACAAAGAGCTGCATTAGCATGACTAAAGCAATGTACAGTAGAGTGGGGCAAACAGTAAATTACATGTTACCCCCCACTCCCCCCTCTCTCTCTCTCCTTCACTCACTCTCTCAGCCGAGCACCACGGCAGGCAAACAAAACAAAACAAAGTATGCTTTTTGTCCCTCCTGTGAGCCCTTAAACAGTAGAGCTTGACAGCTTCTTTAGAAGGAGACACACAAAAGGCCTGAGAGAGAGAGAGAGACAGACAGACAGACAGACAGACAGACAGACAGACAGACAGACAGACAGACAGACAGACAGACAGATAGAGACTGACCTTGGGGAGGGTTGCCCTGTGTTTTGGGATGGTTATGCGAGTGTGTCGATGTGGGTGTTTGTCTCGGGGGACACACTGAAGGATAACAGGGATCAGGGGGAACAGGACATATTATGTGAGGGGTGTGAGAGAGCATTTAGTGAGAATAAGTTATGCTTCAGAGCAGATCACTGTTCCTTCTATTCCTTGCAGATTTAATTAATGCAACAAATCCTCCAAACTTAATGGCAACATAAATCAATTGTAATGGGGATGGACAATATATATATCCTGGTTTTAAAGTAAAGGCTGAAATGTGGGGTAGTGATAGTCGTCCTTCGATAAAATAATATTGTATAGTATTTTTTGTGTTTCTCTTAGTATCCTAAAATACTGTTATGTTTGTCTGTGAATTTTTTTTATTATGAAGGGCAGAGCATTTATTTATATTTATTTTGTTTTTTTTAAGAAAGGGGCAGGTCATATAAGATTGTTCTCTTTTCGCTCAATGGTGTGTTTGTAGAGACATGTTTTGTTGGCAATTATTGTACATTTGGTTTTGCGAACCATGAGCGGGACAAATAAAAATGAAATGAAATCTTGCTACTAACCTGTATTGGTCACTGAAATATGTGCATGCTCAAATTCTAAGTCTTAATTTTGCACTATAGGCTATGTCTCTTACAATATATCCACTCTACAAAATCCTTATTAAGAACAATTAATCGTCCTATTAAATGTTTTTCCATTAACAACACTGATTTAAAGCAATACCCTGGGCATCCCTAAAATGGTGGACACAGGGGTCACCACACACTGGCCTCGTCCCCTTGCCCCCTCGGTCTTTTCCTGCCTCTCCTCCACTTAGGCCAGCAATCTGTTCTCTAATTGTTCATTCATGGTGTGAATCTTTAAATAGGAGGCCCTAGCCTGGCGCTAAGATAATGACTCGCTCTGTGTCGTTAGCTAGCGAGGCTAAATTACCGCTCGTTGCAGAGTTACCATGGAAATAGGCCACAATGAGAGTGATTAGTCTTGTGTCTTTTACACACGGAGACACTTTGCAGTTCAGGAGCAAGCACGGGCACCCACCTCTCTCTGCCTCTTTATATACTGAAAATAATATGTTCAGAAGACGCTGCTGTAATTGAACGGCAAGCATACTTTGGTTGCCTTTTGGAAATTAAGAAAATATTTCTATAAATTATACAGCTGTTCTTTCAGTCAGGGAAGGCTTTCACATACACACCAAGTAAAATATGTGTGGCTTTATATATCAAACTATCACTTTCATCTTCAATTATGTTTTATTTGCTCATAAAGTTTCTATGACAACCTTTCTTAATTAGAGTCTGATCTTTTGATGAGGATTTTACTTACTTTTCTGAGGCAAGGACTTCGTAATTGTTCTTATATGTTTTTATTAACTGGCTTATTGATCTTCTCTCTCTTTTGTAATGTTATATTATTTATGTTCTGCTTAACTGTTGCCCTTTTTTCTTTCTTTACCTTCATGAATATCTATTTGTTGCTCTGTTTTCTCCGACTCATGTTTGCTCCTCTCCCTCACCGTCTCTCCTGCTATTTTCCTCAACATACAACTCTTTCTCTGTGCAGGTGTGTTTGTGTAAATGTGTGTGTGTACTTGCTCAGCCTCATGTGAGGATCCTAGGGGTGAGCGTGAGTGGCACACCGCTGATACACAACAGGAGAGTACTCTGCCCACTTCCTATCTTCCTCTTTCCCTACGAGGCAGAGAGGAGAGCAGATTATCTGTCTCAGTGTGAGGTTGCCAGTCAATGTGAACATCAGGAGTAGAGAAACTAAAATAGCCATCATTACCTGGTCTGCTGCTGGCACCCACTGAGAGAGGTGTGTGTGTGTGTGTGTGTGTGTGTGTGTGTGTGTGTGTGTGTGTGTGTGTGTGTGTGTGTGTGTGTGTGTGTGTGTGTGTGTGTGTGTGTGCCAGTCAACCCAGTGGTCTCTAGAAGACCAGTGATCATAATATTTCCCACCAGAAGAGGATGAATGCTAATCAGTGTAGGCGTGATATGATGATTCAGCACATAAACGCATATCATTCAGTGTACAGGGTGTTTTTTAAGTATTTCCAAATATCATATATCAACATGACTCCAGGGATACAATACAGGAGTGTTGACGTTTCCATCTTCCTCATTAAGATTATCAAACCACTTTACAAGCTTTTGTGAATGTCAAACAGATGCTGGTGTTTTTTTAAGAAACTATAGGTTACTTACGTAACCCCAGTTCTCAGAGTAACATGAAGTGAGATGTCTCACTATGGGATGCGCCTCAACGCATATGCAAACAGAAGCATCAATCTCATTACGCCAATCCTGATTGGCTGGTGATTTTGACGTCTACGTCAGGGAATCCACCCACCCTTTAAGTAGCTTGCGCTACGTCGCAGCGTCATTCAAAATAAGCACCTCTTCTCGCTTCGCCTTAGCAATAAGGGCCGTCGGGTGAGATATCTCACTTCATGTTACTCTGAGAACTGGGGTTACGTAAGTAACCTATAGTTCTCATTCATAACACTCCGTTCGATGTCTCACGATGGGATATTGAAACTCCCGTATTGCTTGACATGCTTATCTCGAAAATCACCAAAACAACCAGAACTTAACAGGTAGAACACTGTCTCAACACGTCTCAAGGGGCACCAGTGACCTGGCACCAGTGACCTGGAAACAGGGAGGAGCCTGCGAGCCCCTTTCATAAAACGGCAGACCAAGGGATGGTGGCTAGCCGTCTTTCCCTCAAAGCCCACATGGAATGCAGCAATAGCAGCTAGGTACACTTTGATCGTAGAGAAAGCTCTGTGTTTATCAATCAGGTCCTGTAGAAATGATAGAATCACCCCGACAGGACATTGAAAAGAGATGTGTCCCTTTTGAAGGCACCACTCCTCAAACACCCTCCACTTACAGTCATAGAGGGACCTGGTGGAGGAAGCTCTTGCACTCTGAATAGTGTTTATCACCTTCTGAGGGAGTCCCACTGTATTCAGGTTATACCACTCACGGGCCAGGCCCATAGTGCCAAGCGCTCTGGGTGTGGGTGAAAAATCTTCCCCCCCGCCTGAGACAGTATGTCCACGGCTGCCCGCACAGCAGCTGATATATCTCCGCCAGCCAGTACATTGCAGGCCAGTGTGGAGCTATTAGGATCAGTGTGTGGCGTTGTTCTCTCACTCTGGCCAGAGTTGGGGGTATCAGAGCCAGGGGTGGGAACGCGTACAGAAGGACCGGAGGCCAAACGTGCGCGAGCGCGTCCACGCCTAAAGGTGCGTTTAAATCGCGCATTGAAAAGAACAGCTGACATTGAGCATTTTCTTTTGATGCGAACAGATCCACCGTGGCCCAGCCGTAACGCACCCACAGCCGACTCACAATTATTGGATGTAGAGTCCAGTCTGCATATAGTGGTGCACCTCTGGACAGCAGATCTGCCCCGAGGTTCATCACTCCTGGTACGTGCGTCGCTCTCAGAGAGAGGAGACGTCCGCAGCTCCATAAGATCAGTTTGCGTGCCAGCATGTGTAACTGGAGAGAACGCAAACCCCCTTGGCGGTTTATATACGATATTGTGGTCGTGTTGTCTGTCCTCATGAGGACATGATGTCCTCTGAGAAAAGGCAAGGTTTCAGAAGCGTTTCAGGGTGAGGAACACCGCTAAAAGCTCCAGATAATTTATGTGTGACCGTTGGAGGTCTCTGCTCCAGAGACCCCTCACAGGTCGACCTTCGTATATACCCCCCCAGCCCGTCAGACATGCGTCTGTGGTGACCACCTTCCGCGATAGGACAGCACCCATAGGCACGCCCCGTACTAGAAAAGTCGGGTGCAGCCAGTCCCAGTCGTACCATCAGGATGGCTGACGCCATGAGCCCCAGTAACCGCAGACATGATCTGAAGAGAACATATTTGCGTGGCTGGAATTGAGCGAGGCAAGCCCTGAAGGCTTTCACTCTCTCTGCTGACAGGCGGGCTGTAAAGGGCACCGAATTCAGGCGTAGGCCCAGGAAGAGTACAGTCTGGGCTGGGGACAACATGCTCTTTTCTGTGTTTATTACGAAACCCAGGTCGAGCAGGTGTTTTACGAGGAGATTCGTCTGCGTAATAGTCTCTTGCTCCGACTGTGCGAGAAGGAGCCAATCGTCCAGATAAGTTGCCAGGCGAATACCCTGTTGTCTTAACGGGGCTATCGCGGCTTCCGTACACCGTACAAACACTCGTGGGCTGAGAGACAGACCGAAGGGAAGTACTATGTATACGTAACAGACACCCTGAAAGGCGAACCTCAGATATTTCCTGTGTGGATAATATACTGGGATGTGGAAATACGCGTCTTTCAGGTCGACTGATGTGAACCAATCGTTTTGGCGCACGAGACTTAACAGAGACGTGTGAGTGAGCATTCTAAATTTGTATCTTTTGAGATATTTGTTCAGAGCCCTCACATCTAGTATAGGCCGAATTCCGTTCCCTCCTCATTTGGGAACGAGGAAATACTTGGAATAAAAGCCGCTCTGACTCTGTTCGGAGGGTATTATAGATATAGCCTTCTTTTCTAGAAGTGAGAGAATCTCTCTCTCTAGAATATGGGCTGACTCTCCTCGGGCTTGTGAATACAGAATGCCCGAGAAGCAAGGGGGGGTGACAGCGAATTGGAGTCTGTAGCCCCGTGTTACTGTCTTGAAAACCCAAACAGATGTTGATGCGCGGGGTCCAGTCNGGGCCGACTCTCCCCGGGCTTGCGAATGCAAAATGCCCGAAAAGTGAGGGGGGGTGACAGCGAATTGGAGTCTGTAACCCTGTGCTATTGTCTTGAAAACCCAAGCAGAATCTGTGAGCATCCCCCACTTTTCGCTTCTCAAAGCGAGTGGAGATGTCACATCCCTGTCGTCTGCCCTCTGCGTCTTTATTTGTTGTGTTATGGGGCCCTCTAGTGTCTGAACACGGTGGTACCCCAGGTTGACAACCCCGGTCGACACTGCGCATGCGCGTGGCGGTGATGCCTTCACAGCCCCGTCCATCGTCCGCCTTCTGAGAGAGGCAGCAGCCACTCTTAGAAGGGGGGTAGACGTTAGACTGTTTATTCTTTTTATTCTTTTTCTTTTCATTTTTATTGACTGTGCCCTTGGCTTTAAGCCTGGAAACGACAGTGGAAAATGATTTATTAAACAACAATAGTGATGACATAAGTCCATTTCTCTCATGGCGCGAACTTGAGGATGACGTTCTGACATCACTCGAGGCGGCGGGAAGATGGGGGCATGGTTGCACCCCGGAAAAACATGAGCATCTAACACTGGAACGTGTTCTGGAGCTGGAGAACAGGGAACTCCCAGCTCCTTTATCGAGGAGAGGAGAGGAGGCTGTCAGGCCGCCCTTTTCTTCTTCCTCGTCTGGTGGCTCAAAGTCTGGACCGGCTGTGCCTGAGCGGCTGCTGCCGGAACCGGAGACTTTCTTGGCCAGCTCGTCCTCGCCTCGTGTCTGGGCTGGAGACCCGGGGCGGGCTGTGGCCTCTGTTGTTTCAGGATCTTGAAACGGGCAGGACGTGAGGCAGCCTGAGCGAAGGACTGCCGCGGGGCCGTTGAAGGCGGTGGCTGGACCCTTCGGGGAAGACAAAGCTGGAGAGCCTCATCCTCCTTCTTTTTGGATTCACACCGCTGCTGCATCGAAGCTAGAGCGGAGCCAAATGTGCCCTCGGGAACAATAGGCATGTCCAAGACGTCCTCTTTTTCCCGGTCTGGAAGGTTCGTCAGGTTAAGCCACCTGGCTCTCTCCTGTACCACCATTATCCCCAGTGCTTTGCCCGTGGCTTGGACTGCACAGCGCTGCACACAGAGGCAAATGTCCGTGATCGCTGCGATTTCGTCCCACACGGCAGGCTCAGGTTTGTTCGTCATGTCCTCGCAGAGCTCCGCCTGGTAGGCGGTCAGCAGCGAGGAGACATTGAGCGCCCTGGCGGACAAAGCTGCGGCTTTATAGGCTCATTCGGTCATTGCTGACTGGAAACGGTCTGCCTTTGCCGGCAGCGTGGGGTTCCTGCTCGGTGCCGAAGCCAGCCGCGGTTGGAGGTGGGCTGCCACCAGCGGCTCCATGGGCGGCATGCGGAGCAGGCTGAGCTTCTCCATGTCCTCAAAGTCCAAAGAGGATGCACCCTGGATTGGGGCCTTGTTGCTGAAAGGGCGGTCTCTCCACAAGACCGACACCTCATCCAGCATCTCTGGAAAGACTGGGAGAAGCTGCCTCTTCATCCTCGCTGCTTGGGGCAAGTTCTTCCCCTCATAGCGAGATCTGGAGGTCTCCTTGGCCACTGTGTGTTCGGGGCTCCGACAAAGCGTGGGGCTCAACCTCCGCTGCGGTCGTCACCATGTCTCGATTGCCGGCCGGCGAATCAACAGACATGAAGAGGTCCTGTCCCGACAGGCTAGCTTGGTGCGCTAGCCGTCGGCGGAGGCTCTTGGTGGTGAAGCGGGCACAATGTCCGCATGAACCGGGGGCATCGATAGCCTCCTGGGCGTGTTCCAGCCCAAGGCAGGACGAGCAGACCTGGTGTGAGTCCGTGCTCGAAATCTTAAACCCGCAGCCGCAGAGCCGAGTCTCCAGAGCCTCCGTCTCCTCCGGTGTGAGGGAGAGAAGGGTCCATCCTCGTTACCCGGGGTGTCGGCGTGGAGGGACAAACTAGTAACAGGTATGTTATCGTTTGAAAGAAAAAATCAAAACCTTATCGTTATTCCGAAAGGAAAAAACGGCGGGCAGATTTTTTTATATTAAATGGTGTGTTAATATCTTTTATCTCCGTCTCCTCTGGTGTGAGGGAGAGAAGAATCCGTCCTCGCTCGCCGTGGTGTCGGCGCGGAGGGATAAACTAGCAACAGGTATGTTACTGTTTGAAGAAAAAAATTAAACCTTACCGTTATTTCGAAAGAAAAAACGGCGGGGCAGATTACAATATTAACTGGTGTGTTAATATTTGTTCAATTCTTCTACAAAGCAAAAAAGTAACCAGCAAGCGCCCTGTCGCCCGAATGTTAGCTTGGGTTCAGTCTGTGGACCGTTAAGCTAGCCCGGCAACTGATATCGAGATGTGCTCTGAAGCGAGAAGAGGTGTTTGAATGACACTGCGACGTAGCGCAAGCTACTTAAAGGGTGGGTGGATTCCCTGACCTAGACGTCAAGATCACCAGCTAATCAGGATTGGCGTAATGAGATTGATGCTTCTGTTTGCATACACGTTGAGGCGCATCCCATAGTGAGACATCGAACGGAGTGTTATGAATTAGAACTTGAATCAGTTCAAATTCACATTAATCTATATTATCAGATTTTTTTAATTCATATAATAATACAATGTTCATCTTCACCTTTTGCTTCATATTAATACTACTTTAAGCTTTGGTGCAGAGAAATCATGTATATTACTTATTCATTTAAAGGTGGGGTAGGTAAGTCTGAGAAACCAGCTCGAGTGCGCTAGAATTTGAAAATACACAACCGGAAAAAATCTGCCACTTCCTTACAGAGCCCTCTCCAACACACACGAGAGAGCGCCGGCACATGACCCAATNTCAACGGACATGAAGGGGTCCTGTCCCGACAGGCTAGCTTGGCGCGCTAGCCGTCGGCGGAGGCTCTTGATGGTGAAGCGGGCACAATGCCCGCACGAACCGGGGGTATCGATAGCTTCCTGGGCGTGTTCCAGCCCAAGGCAGGACGAGCAGACCTGGTGTGAGTCCGTGCCCGAGATCTTAAACCCGCAGCCGCAGGGCCGAGCCTCCGACTCCTCTGGTGTGAGGGAGAGAAGGGTCCATCCTCGTTTGCCGGGGTGTCGGCGCGGAGGGACAAGCTAGTAACAGGTATGTTACCGAAAAAAATCCAACCTTATCGTTATTCCGAAAGTAAAAAACGACTGGGTAGATTTTTCTTTAAAAAATATTAACTGGTGTGTTAATATCTTTCTTATCTCCTTCTCCTCTGGTGTGAGGGAGAGAAGAGTCCGTCCTCGCTCGCCGTGGGGTCGGCGCGG